TATTTTTTTTTTAAACTCATTTTTTTGAAACTCATTGTAAGTTGAAGGCCGAAAAAAGTCTCTTATGATTTGTCCATAAATTTTCTTCCCTAAAAGTTATTCAAGGCTAAGGTCGAACATATAAAACATTTAATTTTACAATTTTCTCTAAATGTTATAAAAATATGGTTTTCAAGTTGAGCTTAAGCAAGTTATTATCAAATTTCAAAACAACCACGATATTCTTTCAAGATTGTATTCTAGGACAAAAGAGAAGATATTCCGAGCCAGAATCAAAATAATATAGGGAGCCCTCTTTGAGAAATTCGGATATTTCTACGAAAATTTAATTATTTATCGATAAAAAGTTTTTATGCAAATAACTACCAAAAACACATACAGAGGTAAGTATATAAGAATATACACACATATATGTATCATATGCATATGTACGTGCTATTTCAGATATGCCAAACAACATTGCATAGCTTGAGCAAAACAATGATGACTCTACTACTTATTTATTTGAAAACATTTACATATTTAGAGAAGCACTTCTAAATAATGAAACTCAGTAAGCTATGAAAAGACAAATAAACATATCGCACATTTGCTGCAAGGGTGCCATAATCCAAAAAATCCAAAACTCGAGAAAAACAGCTTTTATATTTTGAGTTTGCATATATTCACTTAGTGAAAACATATTTTGTTCTAGTGATCTACTGGTAATCGGTAAAGCTATGAAATGTTTACACATCATAGAGTTGCGCTCATTTCTGCACACTTAACTCACAATATATATTTATACCCGAGCGCACTTGTGCACAAGGGTATATTAATTTTGTTCACATAACGGTTGTTTGTAACAGCCAAAACGAATCGAGATAGATATATACAAATGTATACATAAATGATCAGGATGAAAAAAGAAATCGATCAAGCCATGTCTGTCTGTCCGTCCGTCTGTCAGTCTGTCCGTGTACACGATAACTCGAGCAAAAATTGAGATATCTCCCTTAATCCAAGGTAGGTTGGTATTGAAAATGGGCGAAATCGGACTTTAACCACGCCCACTTCCCATATAACGGTAATTTCCAGAAATACGAAAACTGCGATATTTTAGTAACTACTGAAGAT